GAAGGGGGGGTGTTGGGGGGGGGTGACGGGGTGCTCCAACTGGTTTTCTCTCGCTGCCAACACTCTGTTTGCCTGCTGGAGAGAGATTCAGGAGCGCTGTGCCGAAGCTCCCCTCTGGGGGATTCCGCTCGCTCGCTGTGTGTGCATGCGTGTGTCTGTCTGTGTGAGTGAATGAGAGCAAGTGTGAGAGAGACTGACGGGTAGAGAGTTGATATGCGAGCCTGTCTAAGCCTGTGTGACTGTACGTGCACACGTATATTTTTGTGCTGCTGACGCGTTTGTGTGTGCATGTGTGTGGCTGTGGAGGAGGTGTAGCGCTAAACCTCCGGAGCCGTGTTTAATATCGTTGGGAGAGAGTGAGGAGCTTAGCACGAGAGCCCCGGCTTCCCGCCAGACACACACACACACACACACACACACATACACGCACTCCTCCGCAGTAAAATGAGACACCACTCCCCCCCTCCTTTCTCTTTCCCTCCTCTAATCTCCCTCTCCAGAATGCTTCCCTGCACTCGCCTGCAATCAATGCATCACTCAGACATTTAACCCCTTGCAGCGCTGCCTTGTATGCTCCTCACATATAACAGATGTGTGTGTGAATATATAAATGCACATCACATGTGCAGGTGATGCATGAGTGGCTTTCCCCTGTGCAACAAAGAGCAAACACTCTAAGCCGTAATGTTGCTGCATGCCCAGATGTGTGTGTGTAAGAGTTTGGCCTCTTGTTGAATGACTGTGATGGGGTAACAGAAGAAGCCTGAGAATCTCGGCACTGATGATCTCAGATCGAGTCAATTAATCTCAGCCTGACACACACGCAAGCAAATAGAAGAATAAATGTGATGAAAGGAATAATTATTTTTCATATTTACTATGTGTTCACAATAAATGCCTCCGGGCTCAACCAATATCCTGCTCCGCTTATTAACATCCATCATTTACCTACACACACCACCTGATAAAACAGATGGTAGAAGGGTCGCTGACGCTGTAGGGTCTGGTTATACCAGAAACTGGCAGAGTTATATTCCTTCGCATATCCAGAGTTACTTAGTGTGCTATGTAGTTGGTGAGCTAATTGCTACAGTCGCTAGCCAAAAACACAAAGGTGCCAGTCAGCCAAAGCAGCTGACCAGGCTAGCTGGTTTGCAGAAGTTAAGCCAGCTGCCAGTTAGCCTACTTCAATAAATTAAAATATTTAATTCAAGAAAAGTATTTGCATCATCCACTGTGGATTGACTAACTGCAGACAAAGCCACATTTGGCACAGTTAAAACTCTGACAGCTGATATGATGTAGCTTCCTCTAGTCTAGACTCCATGGTTCCCTCAAAGGTTAGCACTGTCAGGCCTGTTTGCTATCAGTTAAAGGCGCAACTTTGCATGTCAAAGTGCACCAGAGCTGAACTTTAAAAAAAAAGTACCTCCACAAGCAAATCTGCTGATGACAGTGTATTCATTTCAAGGTTTTGCTACCATAGTCTGTCTGGGCACTTAAAATGCAACGCAAAATGTTCTCTTTGCTTGGGTCATACAGGAAAATCAGAGGTGATTCATGGGAGGAGAATAAATGACAGATTGCACCTTTATTTGAGCTTTCAATGGGCAGAGCTGAGGGGCCCCGAGCCCCGGCACGAGAGGGATGAAGACATCCGCAGAATCTCTCCTCATTACCATTTCAAATGCTCAGAGAGCGAGGCAGATGAGGGAGAGCGAGAAAATAAAAAAAGAGTGAGGGAGGGAAGAAGAGAGAGTGGGCTTTCATGTGCAGAGGCACGGATCGCAAAACTAAACGAACATGAAATATGCACAGCGTCGGCTGGGCATCGGGAACAGCAGACTATAGCATGCATGGATTGCATTACATGCATATGTGCATGAGGTGATTTCGTCTTGCACGTGCAGGCAAAGAAGCCTGAGCATGTACTCTCAGCCACCCGGTGTTTCTCTGTCTCTCTGTGCATACGTGTGCATGTACTTGTACTCGGCGTGTGTGCAGTGTGTATGAAGTGACTGAATTTGCATGTGCAGGTCTGTGTGGGTGTGCGACAGCAGCAAGTGTGGGAGAGCCGTTTCGCTCTTTGCAGCATATGGAAAAGAACATGTCAGGATGCCCGTGCTTATTAGGTCATAACGGGTGTTTCTCTGTGCATATTTCTGTGTGTGCGTGCGTGCTTGTAATCAGCATGTGCACTGCGTGTGTGTGCGTATATGCCTCCATCTCTCAGGCCCTCATATCTCTGCCTGTGTGTGATAAGCCCAGAGCTTGCGGCACTAAAACACCAGCATGAGACAAGCGCTCTGTGCATCTACAGGCTTCTGTGTGTGCGCGTGTGAGAGAGAGAGAGAGAGAGAGAGAGAGAGAGAGAGAGAGAGAGAGAGAGAGAGAGAGAGAGAG